AGAGTCACTTGAAGCCAGCAGCAATATGGCTTCTTCCTCCGAAAGTACGCCGCGCTCAAGAAGAAATGAAACGAAAACAGATTTCATATTAGAAACTGATACAGACGTACAAGTCGTAGTTGCAAAAGCTCTTTCGAGAACTTTGACGAACGATTGCATGGTCTCTCTGTGTGCCACCTCTCAGCCGTCTCTATCCCTCTCTAGTTCCTCTTGCAAAACCTCTCTAATTTCTAAGATGACGTACGAGGAGTTTCCTTTTGGGATAACAGCTTCACTATTACCGAGTGTGTGCTCGGATACAATTGTAAAATTAAACCCAGTAATCGTATAGCCATATATAGGGCAGTTTTTCGCGTATTAGCCAGCTCCATGGACCTTATCTCTGAGATATTTTTCCTACGGATGCCAGATCGACTGTTGATAGCAACAGGGGTGTTAAATATGTAAGTGTTAGCCAGATTCGGGTGCCAGTACCGGGTAGAATAACCATCCGTTAGGCTTATGATATCGTACACGAGGACAATATTTACTTTGAAGTCGTTAGTTAGGGTAGCAAACACATACTCGAGCTTGTCGTAGAACTCAGCAGGTTGGATACCTTCATACCGGCGGGACCTATGTGCTTACCGTTGTAAAAACGGTACTTCGGATCCTTCTGGACACTTGCTTCTTCAGAGTCTCGACGGAGATCTTTTACTGCTTCGCTAATAGCTGCTGATTAGTAGGACGGGAAACGATGCTAACATAAACGATCTTACCCGTTCTATCACGCATCTTAACACTGTAGCTACTACCCGATTTGATAGCTTGGATATTAAATCTCTTTAATCCTTCGAGCTCGTACGCAAACATGATCCTGATACAAGATCCAAGATAATATCAACAAAGAATATTATACCCAATAATATATACAGTGATGCACCTCGTTTTCGACAGGGTGGACCATATAGAGTCTGCCAACGGCGAAAATTTATGCAGGAACGCAGATGGGGCAATTGTACTGTTTTTATTACGTTAATTCAGTAGAAATATCAGCCCCATCTTTTACACGATATCCCGCTGAGACTCCAGCAGTTTCTAAATATCGTCTGGTTTATTGTCTTCGCCTCTGCTTGTCAGCAAGACTTAGCGTAGAATAGGCGGAGAGGCGACGTGCCATGGTATGATACAGCAAAAAATAAAGTAAGCTTCAGTATTTACTCGTCTGTTCGGTAGAGTGAGG